GAGTGGCAACAAGATTAGAACTTTAGATCTTTGTATGATTTGTCATCAAGTCAAACCCATCCTTATCTAGAAGTTTAAGCTCATGGTGAGTGAACATAATATTTTGTTTAAATTTTGACTTGAGCGAAATTATACGCTTATGTAGTAAACCTTTTCATGCACGGATCCAACTCCAAAACTCTCGTTAGCAAACAAATTTGGAGTAAGTTACACGAATTTCGACTTGTTTGGTGCATTATTGTATCTGAAGATGCCTTCATGTAGTGACATAAATAGAATTTTTTCTTTCACATAATCAAGTGATATTTTTTTTAAGATTCAATCTTAAATTATATTATCATTGACAAAGATGCCACTTTTCTATTGTTCTTATTTTGCCATTCCTCTTCAATTTTGTCCAGATTCGATGGAAAGGATATGGACCTGAGGAAGACACATGGGAGCCATTTGATGGTTTAAGGTAGGATATAAAAATTGTGTGATTGAACCGATCTAATTACTGAGTATGCTAATGCTAAATGCCAACCTACTAGTGGGTGCGAAGAGAAGCTAAAGGAATTTGTCTCAAGAGGCTACAAATCGAAGATCTTGCCTTTGCCGGTTAGCTTTTGTCATGTACATCAACTGTTATAATTCAATTACGTTTACTTTGAATAAAAAATTTTGTATGTTATGCCAAACAGGAGACAGTTGATGTTATATGTGGCGGTCCTCCATGCCAAGGGGTTAGCGGATTCAACCGCTTTAGGAATCGTGAAAACCCTTTAATGGATGAGAAGAACAAACAGCTTATTGTATTCATGGATATAGTAGCTTTCTTGAAGCCAAGGTTTGTGTTGATGGAAAATGTGGTCGACATAGTTAAGTTTTCTGGTGGCTTCCTTGGAAGATATGCTCTTGGTCGACTCGTTGGCTTGGATTATCAAGCGAGAATGGGAATTATGGCGGCTGGTGCTTATGGGCTCCCACAATTTCGCTTGCGTGTCTTCATATGGGCCGCACTTTCAAACGAGGTAATATTTCCTATAGTTGAACAAGGGACAGAAAATGACTCGTCTTTCCCTGTCGAATTGGGGTCTTGTGTTGGTCGTGAGCTGAC